ACCCATCACACACAACACTCTCACCCATCACACACAGCACTCTCACACCCATCACACACAGCACTCTCTCACACAGCACTCACACCCATCACACACAGCACTCTCACCCATCACACACAGCACTCTCTCACACATTACACACAGCACTCTCTCACACAGCACTCTCTCACCCATCACACACAGCACTCTCACACCCATCACACACAGCACTCTCTCACACAACACTCTCACACTCAGCACTCTCACAGCACTCTCACACACACAGCACTTTCACACACACAGCACTCTCTCACAGCACCCTCACACCCATCACACTCACAGCACTCTCTCACAGCACTCTCACAGAGCACTCTCTCACACAGCACGCTCACACTGCACCCTCACACACTGCACCCTCACACACGGCACCCTCACACACGGCACCCTCACACACGGCACCCTCACACACGGCACTCTCACACCCATCACTCACACCGCACCCCTCACACACACACACCGCACCCTCACATACACACAGAACCCCCCCAACACACTGCACCACACACATACTTCCAAATATATATATATATATATATATACACACACACACTACACTCTTAAAGGACCACTCTAGCCACCCAGACCACTTCAGCTTAATGAAGTGGTCTTGGTGCCAGGTCCTTCTAGGGTTAACCCATTGTTTTATAAACATAGTTTCAGAGAAACTGCTATGTTTATCAATGGGTTAAGCCTTCCCCCAAAGCCTCTAGCAGCTGTCTCACTGACAGCCGCTAGAGGCGCTTGCGTGCTTTTCACTGTGAAAATCACAGTGAGAGCACGCAAGCGTCCATAGGAAAGCATTATAAATGCTTTCCTATGCGACCGGCTGAATGCGCGCGCAGCTCTTGCCGCACGTGCGCATTCAGCCGACGGGCGGATCGGAGGAGAGCTCCCCGCCCGGCGCTGGAAAAAGGTAAGTTTTAACCCCTTTCCAGAGCCGGGCGGGAGGGGGTCCCTGAGCCACATATGCATCACATTACACCACAAACACAACACGACTAAAACCGACCTTATTACACAATACCACACCACGACCAGCTCACTCTACACACACGCAATACCACAAGCAGGCTCCAAACATATGCACAATACTCTTCCCTGGCCTTTTGTCTCCTGGTATCCATTTATAAAGACACCAGAGACAAGTTGCAAGGAAACACAGTGCAAGCATGTTATTAAATTTGCTTGCACTGTGCAGAACAAATACAGGACTTTTTTCTCATGCTAGAGCTCTTCATCAGAGCTCTGCGCATGGTCTGCCCTGGAAGAGCATTGAACCAACATGCTCACTTTGAGAGGAGGCATGTTTGTCATTGGTGATGACAAAACACACCTCCTCTGCCCCGCCCCCTTTTTAGTGGGCCGCTGTGTTAAAAAAATGCCCGGGCCGAATTTTTCTCCCAGTCCGGCCCTGGGAAGACCTCTCCTCCAGGAGAGCGTAACAGGAACAGCTCTTAAAAGAGCTAAGTGATTAAAAGCTCAGGGGAATATGCAGAGCAGTGTGATATAGCAGTTCCCTCCAATAACGAGACAAGGCTACGTATTGAGGGTTAAGAAGATCTGATGTTTAATGGCACACACTCTGCTTTTATGAGATTCTGCCCATGCAAGGGAGACACCCACATAATTAGCAGTATAACCAATCGGAACAATATACATTCGGGGAAATTCCCATCCCTCAGATAATCACATAACATAATTAAAACAGAACAGTAAAATACAGTTTTTATACATGTACTATAACTTCCAAACTACACATCCAATCTTCATAAAAATTACATATTTGGAATCAATCCATTAAGGGGAGCAATATATTAAAAAATGGCACAAATCAGACAAGGGGTTCAAAAGTTAGCAAAAGTGTCTTTTGGGGCCTGGCTGGCAGCATGGTTTTCTGGCCCAAACCGGTTTTACAGAGGCCTCTATCCTGGACAATGGGGAAAGTAATCCAATTATCCAGGGATAGAGGCAGACTCCATTAACCACATGTTAGCAAAAGACACAAATAGACACAAAAATACATAACTCCTATTGAACTGAACAGAACCCCCACATTCAACCTATCCCCAGATGGCTTGGATCTGAGCGCTCAATATATCCAAACAGCGCTCAGATCCCACAAATACAGTCAAATCGCCATACACACTAGGTCCATAGTCATGGGGCAGAAGGCTGGCAATTAGGCTTCTCCATAACACAGGGAAGCAGGGCAATTTGTCAAATAAAATAACAGTTACAAATGGCAGTTTGTAACAGGTACTATAAAACTCCCCTCCCCATACACCATTTCCTCTTTCAAGCTGCGACAAAACAGAACAAAAGGCAGAAAACATAATGGGGAAGAAACGAAGATACAATGAATACAACAATGTCCACCATCCGGGAAGAACTGCCAAACCCGATAGCGTTGATGGACTACAAGCTGAAACGAGAGAAAAAACAGAATCGAGTTGGTTAGCCAATGAAATGTACTCTGAACCAGAATGCAGGTACCCAATGTAGCAACCAAAAACACCCTAATATGTAGAGATCCCAACCGTAGTTACGAAAATATATACATAAGGACAAGTGACAGGTAGCAGAGACAACAAGCAGAGTTGCATACCTACCCAATGAACCCAAATTATAAAATTAAACAAGGGAGGGATTAGAAAGGGTGAGAAATACTCGCCTCCTGTCATTAATAAAATTAAGATTCTAGGTACACTAAAGCTAGCATAATCTACAATTTTTTAACATGACAGGAGGCTTGTATTTGCTGTTTTAACGCTCAGCCAACAAATCCAACGCTGTTTGTTTCGCTGGTACCTATTCTGGGAGATAACTAGAGCAATCCCAAATGGACTTTCCAACTGCGAGAAGTGACAGCAGAAGGATCGATGAAGAAGCCATCTGTCGATGATCCCAAAATACGGGAAACAGTCCATTCGCTGTCAGATCCACCCTATGTGGGGTTGCGACCTGTGTCGTAGCTGACGGTCCATGAACTGAAAAGTCGAACTATTAGCCATTTTCTGTAGATGTAAAATACCAAAGGTCACCTGCGGACCTGGGATCGCGAGGAAAATCTGTCACCAGGTCTCGACCCATGATGCGGAAAATTATTCCTCCGATCGTGCCAGGAACACCAGGTGATGTGGCCTTGTAGGCAAAACTCCAACCTTGAGTAATTCCATGACCGAACAGGGTCTTTCGTTCCCTCATGACCTACCCGGTGAGTGATCTCATCCGAGAAGAATTTATTATGCGGTCAAAACTAGCCGTATAGTAAGAAATTCCAGTACTCCAAATGGACTGCGTAACCTGCGACTGCGGTAGAGAAGGAACTCCCAAGTGACGACCAATCAGGGTCCGAAATGGAACTTGTGTGTTGAAACGGTGGCCGACTACTCTGGGGAATTGTGAATCCTGGAAATATCCAAAAGGAGGGAACGTAAACAGAGGTTGAGATTTTCATCCAGATATATCATCGTCGAGGAGTGATAAGTGGTCCAGATCCTGAAATAATCCGATTACTCGTCTGTACGATCCTATTCCATGCCCGACTTTTCAAAACTTGTGTAGGAGCTCATGGTCTGTGAAATGGAAAAATCAATCAATACATTGATTATTTCTTTGTGTATCTGCCCCTGGCCAAATCAGTGAAACAGTGCGTGCACGCTCCCTGAAGTAATTCACACCAGACACAGGTTCCAGGTTGTTGAATAACTTGAGGAAAGTTTATTCAGAGGGGACGGCAGGTCCCTTTTAAAGCAAAATTACATCATAAGCATTGTCAGAGATAACATGGAATAATACATCAATAATTGGTTAGGTGTTAAGTGGTTGCTCTAATGCTCTGCCTACTGAAGGTGATGTCACCGGGGCCATGAGGGTCTCCCATGGTTTCCCGGCGCCATCTTGCTACACGAGGTAGTTAGTTGGTGTTAAAAAGGGAGAGGGAGGGGAGGAGGGGTTAGAAGCTTCTAGCAGCCATTTTGATTAAAACATGTGTGCTTAGCTTGTATATTGTATATAGTGAAGTATAGTGAAATGAGTAAATAGACATTTTCATTAGTTTGGAAATATGTGCAGACCTTATTTCCACAACAGTCCCCCCTAAAATGGCTATTTACTATGACAACTTGCTACTGTCCCTAGTGTATCCCTAGCTGCCTGCAGCTCATCTGTCTTCACAAGCATCGAACTCTTCACTCCGTGGGTAACCCGCAGTAGCTAGTCCACCACATCTCCGCACGTGAGACTTGCCCGTTAAGACAGACGCTTTCCCTACATTGTCCCTACAGAAAAGCAGTTGTCTGTTTGAACTGATGTGATTGAAGGGGTGTATGTGGAGTGTCATCTTCGAGGTCTGTGATGTCTTGATGTAGGAAAGTAGGGGTCACGTCATCTATAGTCTTATCTACTGCTTTCTGTAAGTACTTCTGTATGCAAGGGAGCACGCAACAGGTTAAGAATAAGAAGATGATAATCATTATAAGAACAGCTGTCCCTACCTGGAAGAGGGTCCTTTGCCACCCAAACCATCTGTCCCAAGTGTCAGTGACTCCTGAATTTTTCTTTAGTTCGTCAGAAAGACTATCTAGCTTTTCTATAGCCATAGTCACCTTACCATTGGGCCCAGTGTTGTCTGGAATGTATGTGCAGCATGTCATAGTCTCAGGGAGGATTTTACATACTCCCCCTTTCTCAGCTAAGATCATATCTAGGGCCATTCTGTTCTGAAATGTCATTTGGGTAGTGGCTTGTAACTGCTCTGCTAGGCCCTGTAGGGCATCCCTTGTGTAGTTAACGAAGCGCTGCTGATTATAATAGATGTAGTTGATCCAATTGACATTTTTGTTAGCAGTTATCATTGGAATTAAGGATTCAAATCCTGCAGCCACTTCATCTCTTGCTTTGAATTCGTTAGGCACACCTATGGCATCAATATACACATGGGGGTCGAAGCTCCCTCGGATGGGAGCCTCTCGTTTGGTTCTAGAGTGTACATGTGTAAGGTTTAATGTGTTATGACTACCATCTGGAATAATGTGGATAGGCATTATGACTTTGGTTAGGGCACACTCCCCCCACCATTGCCCAGCTAATTGGGACCTCAATTGTTTGTCACCACATAACTTTGTGTGGTTCATTAGCAGTGATACAGGTGGATTATGGTAAGTTGAGCAGTATCCTGATGGGAATTTGCCCAGATACAAACCAGCGTTCTTAGGTATTGAATAACATGTGTAATTACCTGGGTAGACGGTGACTCCATCAGGTGGTTTTACATATCCATGAGTGATTGGGTAAATTCTCTTCCATGATTCACATGTTGAGGAGTTTGTGGTGGATTGTGCATAAAGACTCAGAACACATAACTCTACTTCAGGAGGTAAGCTCAGAGGTACTGTGCCCAGATGGGGCCTGGCTCCTCCACATACATAGCAGTTAGTCTTATTATGTGAGTTGGCGTTATACCTCATCCATTCTAGCCACAGATTAGTGTCTGAAAACCCAGTCTCTACTGCCATGGTATCTTCAAAGGTGGGGTTGGCTTTAGCTACCATGTCATGTAGGGTCTTAATATGTGGTTTTAATGGGTTAATGATCATATGTGTGGTCCCTACCCAGTCTGGGGAGGTGAGCATGTCTTGTAGGTAAAATGTCCCCAGTGCATTATGTGAGCCACCTCCCTTCCAGTACATTCCCATCACATATTCCCCTGCATCCCTCGGGCTGGGGTGTTCTATATTCAGGGTAAGTTTAATGGGAGTTGACCCTATGGGTTTACTCAGAGTCATTCTAGAAAGTAGGGGTTTCCCGTCTTTGTCAAGCCTGTCCAGTGCAACTTGAGGTCTGTAGCCCCATGGTCTACCTGTATTCCACCCGGCAGCTTTCCATGAACTACAATGGTGTCCCCAAACTCCTCCAGTCACACAAATGTATGGATCCTTTTTGTTAGGTATGTCTTTGTATATGGCTGCATATTGTGTTTGTAGAAATGTACAAGTAACTATGTCACAGTAATCAAAGGTGTATGTGGCTACATCAGTATTAGAAGAATTGTACCAGAAAGTGTAAACGTGATTATCTTTGGTTTTGGCCACTTGTTGGGCCCAGGCAAAGTGTAGCAACATAAGAAAACACAAGAGACATAATAAATTCATATTTCAACAGGATTAGCCTCTTCTGGAGCAGGCACTTTTTTGCAATGTGAAGCGTGTATCCAAGAACTCTTCCCGGCTAGTTTAACTGACGTTGCTGTAATCAGGAGCACTTGATAAGGACCATCAAATCTCGGTTCTAGGGTGTGTTTCCTGAGAAACTTCTTGACCATAACCCAATCACCCGGAAGCAGCTTGTGTGTACCTGTATTCGACTCAGGATCTGGAATAGAAGAAAACACTTGGGCATGTATCTTGGTCAAGGCATGCGAGAGGGCAGTCACATAGTCTACCATAGCATCTGACTGAATCTGAAGCTGTTGGGGAAAGTAGCAACCTAACCTGAGTGCTGTACCAAACAAAATCTCATAAGGTGACAAGCTATATTTTCCTCTGGGAGTGTACCTTGCACTAAACAACGCTAGTGGGAGACTCTCGGGCCAAGGCATGTTAGTTTCTTGTGACATCTTAAGCATTCTGGCTTTTAAAGTGCCATTCATGCGTTCTACCTTACCGCTACTCTGTGGGTGATATGGTGTGTGGAATGCAAGGGTCACCCCCAGTGCTGACCAGACTTCCCGTGTCAGCGAGGCAGTGAAGGAGGTCCCTTGGTCACTTTCAATTACTTCTGGAACTCCATAGCGGCAAACAATTTCTGTCAAAAGATACTTGGCTGTAGTCCTCGCGGTGAGATTAGTCACTGGGAAGGCCTCTGGCCATCCTGAAAACATGTCCACTATGACCAATGCATATTCATAACGTCCACTCTTTGGCATCTGAATGTGATCAATCTGGATCCTCTGGAAGGGGTATTGTGGTTTGGCCAGGTGATTAGGTGCGGTCTTTATAATCTTTCCAGGATTGCACTTAGCACATATAGTACAAGATTTACAGCAATTCTGTGTTAAGGTAGTGATACCTGGTGCTTCAAAATATTTGTCAATCAGTGAGTTCATCAGGAGTTTCGACAGGTGGGCTGGCCCATGGGCCCATTGGACCACCGCTAAGTACATACTTCTGGGTAGGCAGAACTTGAGATTGATGGTGTAAACATCATCCCGGAGTACAGCTCCTTTATTCTTCCAACTTTGTTTCTCCTGGGGAGTTCCAATGCATCCATTAGTTCTGCAATGGCTGCCCCATGTTTTACTGGGGTACCGGTAGCCGTAAGAAATCCTCTGGTCTTCCAAATTAAGCCAAAGTCATGTGCTACTCCCAGGGCATATCTTGAATCCGTGTAAATATTGACACGTAGACCTTCAGACAATTTGCAGGCCACAGTCAGAGCTGTTAGCTCGGCTTCTTGAGCAGACTTAGTTGGTTGTAGGGCAGCTGCTTGTAATACTTGACATCCTGTGGTGACTGCATACCCAGTGTGATATTGTCCCTGTTCATCAGCAAATCTTGACCCATCCACAAATAGTGTTTGGTCCGGGTTGAGTAATGCAGCTTCATAGACAGTTGGTAGATGTGTAGTTTCCATTTTCATTTGTTCAAAACAATCATGAGGAATATCTAGGTCACAGTCTGTGGTGAGTGGGTCTTCATGGGCTTCTGTGTGGTACCTTGGGTACCCTGCTGTACAGTAATTAATAGTCTTTTTGTTAATCCCCGTAGAAGTCAGTTGTTCTTGGTTCATTTGACTCCAGGTTTTGGCCATCGGGCCTAGGTCTTTCCATGAGGTGTCGGGGGATCTGGTGAGAGATATGTGTGGGATAGCTGTTTCCCAATGATGATAGAGATGTGTTACATTCTCTGGAAGATGAACTAAGATGAGCATGGTACCTGTGGGGTCCCAGAATAAGTCAGTCAGGGTAATTTGAATTTCTTTGAGCTGGAATAGCTCTTCCTCATAGTTCATATCAGGGCCTGGTACGTCCTTAAACCACAAGGTACAGTGAAGTAGGGCCTCTGATTGTTCATCATGTGGGGGTGCAAGTGCAGGCAGCTGCAAATCTGCTCGAACCTCTGGGTTGATATCCAGGCTATACCAGTAATGCACAACTCCCCCCTTGGGAAGTGGCAGAAGAGTGGCTGGGTTCAGGGAAAGGCATCTCTGAAGTTTCACATTGTCAGGTAGAAGTAAGGAGGTTTGTAGACGGAGGTGACGTTGGGAGGAGAGGTGTTTAGGTTGGACTTGTTGCAGGATTGCAGTAATGTCATGAGGAGCCAACACTGTGAGGTGATGGCCAAGAACAAAATCATTGGTCTTGTCCAGGAGGGCGCTGGCGGCAAACACCGCTCTGAGGCAGGAGGGACTGCCCCTCGCAACAGGGTCAAGCATACAGGAAAAATAGCCAATAGGTCGTTGTCTTGACCCATGTTTCTGGGTAAGGACTCCAGAAGCATGTCCTGACTTTTCAGAGACAAACAAATTGAAAGGAAGTTGGTAGTTGGGTAGGCCCAAGGCAGGTGCAGAAGCAATAGCTCTTTTCAGATTGTGGAAACAGGTGATTGTTTCTTCAGTAAGGTGAAAGGGCTCACTCCTGAGGGCATCATAGAGTGGCTGCATGAGCTTTGATGCTTCGGGTATCCAGGACCTGCAGTATGTGATAAGACCCAAAAAGGCATGAAGAGTCTGATGTGTCGCAGGTAAAGGGAGTTGCAGAATAGCTTGCACACGTTGAGAAGTTAGATGTTTGGTGCCATGGGAAAGGCAATGTCCCAAGAAGACCACAGAGGGCCGGCACCATTGTAGCTTGGATTTTGAAGCTTTGCAACCGGCTGCAGCGAGGAAACATAGGAGATCTTCTGAGTCACGCTCTGCAATGAGCAAATCAAGAGCACAGAGAAGGAGATCATCAACATATTGAAGCAGGACAACATCCAAATGAGATTTCTGCCAGGGCTCCAGAACCAGAGACATGGCATGAGCAAACTGTGTGGGGGAATTCTGAGCCCCCTGAGGCATAACTGTCCAGGTATATTGTTGTCCTTCATGGGTGAAGGCGAAGAGAAAGCGGCAGGAAGGGTCAAGGGGCACACTGAAAAAGGCATTAGCTAGATCCACTACAGTGAATATTGTGGCAGTTGGTGGAACTTGGGACAAGAGGGTGTGTGGGTTTGGAACAATGGTTACTTCATTAACAGCACGGAGGTCCTGCACCATTCGGTACTGGTCGGGTTGACCCTTAACAGTTCGCTTTTTAACAGGGAAAAGTGGTGTGTTACATGGAGATGTGCACTTGATGAGGGCACCTTTGGCAAGTAGGCTTTCAACTTGTTTAGTGATGGCTTCAGCTTGTGCTGGCTTCAGAGGATACTGTGGTCTACGGGGAGGTAGTGCTCCAGGCAGGAGCTGGACCAAGACTGGGGGCACATGCAGGCGCCCAATATCATCCGGGCCGGTGGACCAAAGTTCTTGGGGGATACGATCCAGAGCACTGGGGGTGTGTAAGACCCGTGCATTCCCTGTATTGTCAGTTAAGTTCAACAAGATGGGGAGTGAACAGAGGACAGAGGTGTCTTTTTGTGATAAGGGGGTTGTCAACTCAACTTGACCATCTGCAGTAAAGGTAATAGATGCCTGGAGCCAAGAGAGAACATCAGCACCTAGGAGGTTAATGGGGCAAGTAGAGGAAACAACAAACCGGGAGAGGATATGTGATCCTACATGTGGGAGCTTAGTAAGGGGGTTACTGCGGGGTGTACCATCCACCCCAACACAGGAGACATCGGTGTCAGATAAGAAAGAAGGATCTGGCAGGTCTTGTTCCCTGAGGACACTACGGGCTGCACCTGTGTCAACTAGAAAGGTGGTTGGATGACCCTCCACGGGGAGAACTACAGTAGCTAAAGGCCCTCCCCCATCCCCCGCAGACACTGCCATGGCAGGGGTTGCTGACACAGGCTTGCCAGTTACCTATTGTAACAAATCTAGATGGGCCTGATCTGGTCCCTGGTACCGGCGGGAAGTGGAACGAGGGTTACTAGAATGCATGGGAGGACGGGATGGACGGTTAGCGTGGCGGGGCAGTGGCTGACTGTCTTGGAAATCATCGGTGTCATACCCTTCAGCGGAA